CTGAACTGCTAATTGCACTCCCAGACCAGGTCTGTGCTCTGAGGGGTAATTTCCTTGGCAAGAAATGTTTAAAAACCTGGACAGCTAATTAACTTACAACCAAGAGCATTTAACGAGTCAGGGTCAGGAGCTGCCAGCTGACTTTTCCAAAAAGCTCAGCTCTTGCTGACTGAGATGCTGGCAGCTCTGTGAGCCAGGTCTTTGGGGGCATCAGTCCTGACAGCCCATCTTTACCATTTCCAGGATCAGCTGCTGATTTTCCATTGCAGTCTGGGGGGAAAAGCCTAACGGTTGATTTTGAAGAACACCATTTGGAGTGAGCAAAATTGCCTGCATAGGTTGTGCAGGGATGCAGGTGGGATGCTTGGGGGTTTTGGTCTGCAAGGAGGTTTCCTGGTGTAAGGCTAGCATTTAGGACACTGATAAACATGATGTATTAGTGGGATTGCTGCTGCCAGGAGGGATGATAGTCCAGGGAGATGAGAACTTGTATGACTCTGCTTTGTTAAATCATCCCTTTACACGGTGGAAAAAATATATGGAAAACTTGAGTGTGGTTGAATCATGGGCTAAAAGTCTGCATGCCCTCTTCCCCCAGCCTGTTGGTGTCCTGGTTTTGCTGGGACAGGGACGCACACATGTGTGTCTGCACACATGTCACCACATTAACAGTGGTATTCGCTGTGAGCAAGGAAAAAAGGAGGAGAGTTAATTCCCAGAAGTGGACAACCATGAGGTAGTTACCCAGCACTCTACCTGCTGCTGGTCTCACTCCGCTGACCCTGACAGACTGCGCTTAAGTTTCTCCCTGCTGACTTATGGGATGCTGTGGTGGAAGAGCTGAGGATCATTGCCCTGGGCAGCTGGAACAGGGCAGGCTCTGCCATATCACCCTGCGGCAGCGTTGGCCAAGGGACATTGTGAGATGCTGGACCACTGCAGCTCATGCTGGGCTTCTCCTCCCTCCCTCTCTCCAACTTTTCCCATCCCCTCTAGTGCCTGCACACCCCACAAGGATGCCTATGTCCCCTCTGCATCCCCTTTACCATAAAGTGGAGGAACGTCCTGTCATCGTCATCCAGAAATTCCTCGTAGAAGCAGCAGAGCACCTGAGGAGGAGCAAAGGTGGGTTGTCCTCAGTCAGGGCTCCAGCAGCAACCACCACCCCCCCAGCCTCACCATACCCTGAGGTTGCAGTGGAGATGCCGTGGGCAGGTTACATCTCACTGAGATGCCCAGGACAGCTCTGCCAGGAGCTGGACACCCAGGCTGGTCCATTGGGCTACTCAGAGGCTGCCCAGAAGGGCTTGGGTTGTAAATGTGTTTTACTCATGTTGCGCTGGAACCAGCAACTTGGATGCAAAAGGATGGCAACTGCCCTGCCACCCCCTGGCCCTGGACATGTGCATCTAGCAACTAAGGTGCTAAATAACTGCTTACCTCTGCTCCACTGCCAGCAGACCAGTGACCTGACACATCTTGGTCACTGGTTCCAGTGCAAGGTAGCTTGTGACTGTAAGTTTTTTCCCTTCCTAATCTCTTCTCACCTGCATTTTCCAAATACCTCTTCTTAAATGTGCCCACAGCCCTCACAACAGCCCAAGGGTACAGCCCAACACCAGCTGTACCTCCCAGCCTGACCACTGCCAGCTCCACTCTGTACCTTGCAAATCTCCTCCTGGGCTCTGAATATCCAGGGGGAGAATTCTCCAAACATCAGATGGTTCCGTAAGTTCTTGAGAGTCCTGGTCTCTAAAGGGAGCTGCTGAATGGTGCCCTCCTCCAGGTAGGTCTTGCATATCTTCTCCCCAATCAAACATCGCAGGAAAAAACTGTTTTCTCTGCTGGGATCCAGCACTACAGGCAGAAATTCCTCCAGGTCATGCCACAGATCCAGGAGATGAGTCTCCATGGACCGGTCCTGGTGCTTCAAGAAGTCCTTGAAGGGCCGTCCCGCACAGGTGTCAGCACTAAGGGCCGAGGGAAGGAAAGGCAAGGTCTTGACTGTTTTTTTCAGGGATGGCAGCTGGACAAGGGGTGCAGAGGAACACAGCTTAGAGAGGACTTTCTCTTCACGGAGGTCTTCCAGAAGAAGGACCTGCTCTGCATTTGGTCTAGGTTTTTTTGGAGAGGTTGCTCCTCCTTTGCCTTCAGAGGCAGTGTTTGCAGGATGATCTGACCGATGAAGAAATGATCCCAAAGCATCCTTATCCAGATGTGATTCCTTTTTGCTCCCAGCTGGCCCTGGCTGCCTTTCTCGTTGCACCCGAAAACTGGGAATCTTCATTTCTTGGCTGTCTCTTTCCTCCTTGACCAGAGTCCAGATCTCTGCTTTGGCCTTCTTGCTGCAGTAGGGCCCTGACAAACTCTGGCTCCTTTTAATATACGCCGTGAGGAGTTTCTCTGGAAAGACTGAAGGCTCCTGCAAGTTGGCCTGTAACAAACGCTCCTGATATTCCTGCAGCAGAAGTTGGCATGATTCCTCTTCCTCCATGCCCATCTTGCAGTGGATGAAGAATTTAGGGAGCCAGTAGCTCTGAAGCATAAAAAGGACCCGTTCCTGCATCTTGCTTAGGATCTCCCTCCTGGTGATGATGGACTGAATGTGCCTGGCTTTTGGCAGCGACTCTGAAATGGATGCAGGGGATTATGATGGGAAGGCTGACTCCATCCTGACCCTTTTGTGCCAGGGGAGTTCCCCAGCCAAGCAAAGCTGGTGATGGTACCTCCCTGGGAGCATCCAGGAAAGTCCACCTCATTGGAAGGGCACTACTCATCCCTGGCTGCTGCGTTTCTTACCAATGATGGTCCTGCAGAGAATGACAACACTGGAGCCTTCACGCAGGTGAGTGGCTTTCAGCCTGTGGAGCAAGGACAGGTAGAGGTCCCTCTGCCTCTCATCCAACTCATCAAGCCCCAGGAGCCTTTCGGTGGTAAGCCAGAAGTCGGTCAGTTCTTCCCCTATGGATCAGACAAGGGATGGGAGTTGGAGGGAGTCCCTGAAAGCCCCGCTGAGAAGCAAAGCATCCTGTGGGGTTTTTTTTTTTAAAAAGAAAGAAGGAAAGGTTGCATGGATGAATGGAGGGAACAGTGTAGAGAAGAGCCAGGGTTATACATCTCCTCAGCCTGCAGCACCAACCTTGGGGCTCTGCTGGTGGCTCACCTTCCAAACCCATGTCTGGGGTCGTGTTGTCTCCCATCCCAGTGGTGCTTACCCATGCCCTCAGTTCTGTGCTGGTGTCCCACCAGGCAGCTGGCCTGCAGCTGGCTGAGAAGGGGCTGCAGAGCACCCCATGCCCACCTGCTGTTCCTTGGATGAAGGCCCGAAAGTGGCACATGCCCTGGTTCCCGCTGATGCACTTCTCCAGCAGCCACCGGTCAGCACTTTGCCAGTTCAGCAGTTTTGCTGTCAGAGAGAGAGCGAGCAGAGCAGAGTAGGACATCGGGGTGCAGGAGCACCCCCAGGAAAGTCTTCCAGACCCCACCAGCATCCCCCCAGCCTCCCTGATACCGGCTGCCAGAGGGCAGCGATGCTGTGAACCAGCAAATGGCACTGAAATAGGAGTTTTGGACAGGATTATGGGATGGACGTGTGGTGTTTGCAAGGATGCAAGTACAACCTGCTCACATTGGTGATAGTCTGCCCACCTATCGTGCTGCTTCCCCTTGCAAACATCCATCTTTTTTTTGCCTGCATTTGGGGCTTGCCCTCAACCTCCTTCAGCTTGAGGTTCAACCTGACTGGAGAAGAAGCAGCAGTGCATTCACAAACAGCACTGGAGCAAACCTTGACCAATTGCTTATTTTTCTGAAACTAAAGTTGGTGTTCCTGCTGCCATAGTTTTCTTTCCAGTGGCTTTGCCTTGAGCTGACATGCAGTTGGCTGGGCTGAGATGGCTCATTTTGGGAGCAAACTGAGCACAATTCAGACTTGCCAAGGAAGTTGTAGAAGCCCCCTCCCTGGAAGTGTTTAAGGCCAGGCTGGATGAGGCTTTGAGCAACCTGGTCTAGTGGAAGGATGGCAGGAGGGTTGGAACTAGATGATCTTTAAGGTCCCTTCCAATTCAAACCATTCTATGATTGCTGCTGGTAGGACAGACGATGGCATAGGTAGGATGCATCAGTTGAGGAACATATGAAAATACAGTGCGAGAGCTCTGGGCACCCTGCGTAGCAGTAAACCTGGGATGCCAGCAGCCCAATTTCCCATGCCCAAGGATGCTCTCTAGCCCTACTTCACCCATGAAGTGCATGGAAAACCCAGCTAAGCAGCTATTTCAGCTCAACTCCATGGAGGTAGCGAGCTTGTATTACCAGGGCTTGGGGTAAAGCCCCGCTCATTCTGTGGAAACCCTGGGGTCTGCTGCATCCCTAAAAACGTGACGTGTGATGCCTTTTTAACCCGGAATAAGGCACGACCTGCTGGGCAGGCACCAAACGCTGACAACCCCGGCGAGAGGAAGCCTTGCTGCAGTGGCAAAGCTGCTCCGATTTCCTCCGTGCCGCGATGACTCACCTGCTTCCCCCGACCGAATGAAACCCAGGAGCTTCTGGCAGAGGACGAGGTGGAGGCACAGGCTGGATTTGCAGAAGTGAGGCAGACGGTGCTTTTCCAGCCAAGCCAGTAAAGCCGAGGGGCTGGGATCCTGCGTTGCAACCCCCCGTGCCCAAGGAGAGGATTAGGCTGTGAGCAAGGAGCCGTCTCTTGCCGGGGGATTAGGGTGAGTAACGGGCTCTGCTATGGGGGAAGGAGGCAGGGGAAGGCGCCCTGTTGCTGGACGGTGATACAAGCCATCCCCATGTTGTGGAAGAAGGGGGATACTCGAGCTATAACCCCTGTCTGCATCCCTGTGAGCTCTGCCTGCAAGGCTGCCTCTCCTCACAGCCTGCCTGCTTTCCCCGAGCCCGGGTGGGAAGGCACGGAAGCTTTCTGGCAGCACTGAGAGGAGCAGGTTCCCTTTTGCTACGGGATCTGAGCACTGCAAACGGCGCTCGTGGCTGTGGGGAAGGGGAACGTCCATGGGCTAGTTTGAGGATCAACAGGACTTCACTCCTGGTGAATTCAGGACTACAGGACTGATGTTTGTGTCCTCCTTCTCTGCCACCATACATGCTCTCCTTAACTCCAGCTATCGATGTTTACTGAGATGGACCCCCTAAACTGCACCAGGACTCTAAATGGCTCATGCTCCTCACAGGGTTTAAAAGCAAAATGATGCCTGGGTTTGAAATAATCCTCTGGCTGCTGGAACAGGAGAGCCAGAGAGTGGCCTTGGTAATGAGAAACCTGCTCCTTCCCTCCCCTGCCCTGTGTCCTTCCTCCCTCCTCCTCACCCTCCTCACAAGGGCCATTTTCTCACCAGGCAGCTCGGCAGCTCTGGCCAGAGGTCCCATTGTCCCATGCTGCTGATGTAAATGGGTGTCTGGCCAAAAACCTGTGTCAAAAGAAAAGGGAGAGCTGAAAGAGATGGAGGGTGGCAGGGGAGCCCAGAGCCCAGCTGTTGTAGTTAGTCCTCACTATGAAGAAGGGCATTGTCTTCAGGTTTCCCTAATTTTCCAGCCTGAATGTGGTGTATTCTGATTTTTCTGGGGGTCTCTAACACCACAGAGGCTGAAAGTTCACCTGAGAAGAGCTCAGAAAGGTCCTGGGCTGTATGGGGCACAGTGGACTTACAGGAAGATTCAGAAACGTGTTGAAAAAGTCGACAAAAACATCATCTTTCAGCAGAAGCCTGATATCCGTGGAGGCTATGGTTGCTGCAAAGAGGAGAAAAGAATGTTACCTGGGCTTTGTGATACCAAGTGTGATATAAATGTGAATTAAAGGATGAGATTTGAGAGGGGCAGCTCTAGGGGATATGCAATATGGGCTTGTCCTGTGCGCACACAGGAAGATTTGGACCTGGGACAGTCCATGAAATTTGGGTCACAGTGCACCCATGTGCTCTGGGCAGGTGGCACAGGGTGTTTGGAAAACATCAAGTTCAGCTGCATGCAGGAGCTGGAAAGTTTGAACAGCAGCTTCCTAAATAGCAAAGGTACATGGTTCGTAGAGGCTGGGCATAAATATGGTGGTATCCACGAGGCAGGAGGAAGGAGATGCTGTGGCTGGAGGGGATGAGTTGTGATCCTCCACCTTACCCAGACAGCAGGATAATCCTGCTATCATGGAGAGCGTCTGTGTGCTGCTGATCCAGCCCCACTGCCCTGATGCCCTCTGAGTCCTCTTGCTCAGGTTTCTGGTAGCAAATTCCCCTAAATTAGCAGGTAACATCAGGCTGGGAGCAGGTTGTGGCTCTGGGTAGAGTGACAAAGTGCAGACCTCCACCTCACCCACCTAGGACATCAAGGTAGTGTACCAGTAGTACCCAACACCTCCCACTATCCTGTGAACTTTTATTCATGTCTAAAAGATCTGGATGCAACAGGGTGGGCTGGCATCAGCCTACTGATGGGTGGATGCCCTTGGAAACGTCCACTTGCATGAAGGTACAGCTGTGTCATGGGGAGGACCCAAGTTTCAGAAGCCTAATGCTGCTTTTTCCCTGCTGTCCCCTTTGGGATGTGCTTTTAGGGGCTGAAGCCTCCAGCAAAGGTAACTTACCAATGGCCGTCATGTTGCCGTGTCCCATGGATGTGTTCTGGAGTGCCACGCTGCTTGTGACGCACTTGTCCCAGTGGGTCCTCGGGGGCTGCAGGGCTCTCAGCACCTCCCTCTTTGCTGTCCTTCAGGGAAATGTCACTTTTTTTCATCGCCAGCCCTGCAAATGCAGTTGGGTGTCCTGAAATGAAACCCTTTCCCTCTCCTAACTTAGGTAATCTTCTTGCCTTCAAATCAGGTTCTTGGTAGCACCTTGGTGCTGTGCGTGGTTGCTGTCAGTGTGTCTGCCCAAGTGGTAATTTAAATTTCACAGGAGACCCTGCTATGTCTGCCCTGGACAGAGCAACCCCAGATTCCTTATTAGCTGTTCTGCTTCATCAGATTTTGGACTGAGACTCAACCTTGGAGACCCTCCAGTGGGACTAGAAGAAACAAAGAAGGAACCACATCTCTCTTGCAGTAGCAGTGACCTGTTTCCCTGGCAGGAGGAGGAATCTGCTCCCCAGGTGAATGTTTGACCTGCCCAGTCTGTAATGCCATGGTATCAGACCGGCAGGTGTCAAAACCTGGTAGGTTTTGGGCACCATCACGGCTGGGGTCTCTGATGTGCCTTGTGGCAGGGACGTGGGTCTGCTTGGCTGTGGCTCTGTGCTGTCAGTGGGAGGAGGAAGGGTTTCATGGCCTCTGGAGGGTGTGGAGCAGAGGTTTTATGGCTTCTCCTGCACTTGACAGCTCTTCTGTGCTTGCCTAAGGTGGGACTGCAGGATAGACTCTGCCAACCTTGTGTTTGTTTCTAAGAAGCCTTGAGTTTTGTGTCCTGGCCATTAACAAAACCCAAGTTGTGTTAGGTTGAGTGTCAGGTCTCTTTCTGTCGCTGTGGCTGCAGTCCCTGCGTGGTGCCCAGGAGCGGGGTCACCTCACGAGATGGCGCTGTCAAATCGCGAATGTGAAGCTGTCCCCAACAGCAACAGGGCTCTGCAGCTCAGCCACGGGCTACGGCTTCACAGCCGCAATTAATACAGGGAGGACTCCTAGTTAATTGTGGGGCTGGGGACCCCAGGGTGACAGTCCTGGGCTGCTGGCACCGGCTCACTCCATCACCCCAAGCAAGTGAGCTCATTTCTTTGTGCATTGCTGTGCTGCCCTATGCAAGGAGGGTAACTGGAGCTGTAACCAGGGCAGGAGAGGCACCACAGGGACTTGTGAAAGCACATTAGTGATCACATCTGACCTGTCCGTGCACACACGTGTGCCCAGGAGAGGTCACATCCTGCCTGGCACCGGTCACGCTACATGCATTCCAATGGTTGAAGCTGTTGGGTTTCATGGCAGTGGGTGGTGTGCGCGTGGGATGCACGTTCTCGTGGTGACAACGAAGGGATGTTGTCCTTTGGGTGATGCTTTGCTTTTGGGAGGTGGGGGCAAGGCCTGGCTTGTGTCCTGCTGCAGGATGGCTGGGCAGTGCCTGCCCTGTGCCAGCTGCTGCCAGGATGCAGGGCCAAGCACAGTCCCTTGGAGATGCACCCTCACCTTCCTTCCATCACAGTCCAGGTACGTTGGCTGGTCACTATGCCAAAATTCAAACTGACATGAGGAAGGGGCAGCCATGAACTGCAAAACATCTGCTTGTCTTAGTGGTGCCAGGCAGAGCTGCAGGAAGGAGTTGCCTGGGGAGACCCTGGGGAGGAGTAGCTCCAGTCACAAATTCATAAGGATTTGTGCTGCTAAGCCCAAAGAGGTGAGAGGAGGCGTGAGGGATGAGCTGGCGCGGTGGCTGTCACACACATGAAAGACTCAAAAGTCATCAGGGAAAGGTTGACACTGTCAAAAACAAATATATTTTCCAGTTGGCAACTGAGCAGATGCCCAGTGTGATCCTCAGAGGCTGGTGTAGCTTCACTGCTGCCCATTCAGCTCTGGACTGACCTGAGCAAGACTCTGCTGATTTCTGCTGGGAAAAGGACCAAGGTTGTGAGCAGGAACAGCTCAACTTGGTTACTTGGAGCGCACAGGGCCATGTCCACAGAGTCTGTCCCCAAGAGGAGACCCCAGGATGTCTGGTAGGATGGAGCCCTGCTCAGCCTGGCTGCAGCTTCCCAGGGTTTGCTCAGTGTGTGCATGGGCACATCTGCTGCACGTTCATCTTGCTGCAGTGGCTCTTTGCTAAAGGAGCTCGTGTGAGTTGTGTGGCTATTAAGAAAAAGAAAAAAGACTTAAAAAAATAGATGGAGGCATAAGCACTGCCCAGATTTGGAAGGGGGTTTGGAGAGGAGTGCAGAGCGGCCAGACGACTCTTTGTACAAAGATCAGGGCAGGGTTGCAACACCAAACACGTCAGAAGGGCTTTGTTCCCCCTTTGTCCGAGCCCAAATTACCAATGTCCTCTATCCTCCAGGCATGGGGAGAAGCCCACTCTCAGCAGACCTGAGGCCACCTCTGCCAGCAGCCAAGCTCCTGGGGTGGCAGAGGGGACGGGGCTGGGTTTCTCATCCTTGCCCAACGTAAACTGGCATGGCTTGCTGCAGTGGCAAAGTCCAAGGCTGCCTGACCATGGGGGTCAGCAGGGCTGCCTGCAGTCATTGGCCACTTGCAGCCTCCCCAGGTAGCCCAACCTGCCCTTTTTGGTGCTGCGGGGAGGGTGAGGTGGTTTCCCCACCAGCTGTGGTCGGTACCCACAGACCCAGGGCAACCTCAAATGCCTCTGCATTGTGTTTGGTCTCAGGTGATGGTCTGCAGCTGGAAGCTCCAGCACGAGGGAGCAGTGCAAGCTCATTGCTGCACAAGCCTGCTCGTCCTCTAGCACAAATATTGTATGTGCAGCGTGAGTTTTTGGGGCAAGACTGGCATTTCCTCCCAACCATACAGCCCCAGCCACTTCTCAAATAATTTAGGACACCTCAAAGACTGCATCAGCAGTGGGTTTGACCCTTTGGGGCCCACAGCACCTTAAAACTGGAATTGTTGCAGTCTCAGGCATGGCAGTTCAGCTTTAAATATTAATGCCTTTCTTGAATATATTAGGATTATTTTATTTTAATGTGATTTTCATGCTCAGTCTCCTGGGTGTGTAAGACTCTCTTTGCTCAGTGAGGACATCTCTGGTATTTCCTTACATTAATTAGAAGTATTTTTGAGCCTATGCCATCTGTTGGGAGTTTCCTTGCTTGGGATTCACGGGGAAGGCTGGGCTCTGACCGCTACACCTGACAGCCCTTGCAGCAAGCTCAGCGTCTGCTTGTCTCTTCTCCAGCTCAAATGAAATCACCCGTGTAACCTTATACGTGTTGACTTCACCAGTCCAGGTTAAGCATGTGCTGTGGCAGGACTGGGACTTAATTCAGCCACAGGGAAGGGACATAGACAACAACAATTTGCTAATTACCTTTTATAATTTACAACGTCAGGCTTGGATCCTACCATCGCATCCACATGGGCAGCGCTTTGAGGATGTCTGCACTCTCACTTAACAGAGCTGTGAAGTGTGTAAGGCTGAAATTAATCTGCCAGCTCCAGCTAACGTGTCTCGGACCTAGCTGGGAGTGCATTTAGCAGCATGAGCAGTGCTAATAGAAAAAGACAAAAAAACCCAACCAACAAACCAAAACCAACCCACAAAACAACCCTGCCAATGCACACTGTGACCAATTTCCAACTGCAGGGAAAGGCATGTGCTGAGCATTCCCCGGGATATTCTCCACCCTTGAACAGAGCAAACCGAGCCAAGCAATTTCTAGGTCTCAAATCCCGCCTGCCCATGACGTTCTCATCTTCCAGCTTCCCCTGGTTGCTTTTGAAGGCGAGCACGTGCTTCTCTGTGGCGGTGGTGGTGGTCCCTGCTCGCTGAAGACTCTCGGCCTCTGCGCAAGGGTCTCCACGTGTGCAAGGGCTAGCGAGAGGTAGGTGCTGCCTGATGAGGCTGCTGCCCAACGTGCCTGGAGCTGGCACTGGTGATGTCCCTTCTGCAAAAAGCCCTCCCCGGGGCAGCTAGGGAAGGGTGCTGCTGGGGGACAAAGCAATGCCATGGTTTTCCTGCGAGGGGTGGCAAGGTGGGCATCAGGCATGGTGACTGGCACCGAGGTGGCTGTGAAAGGGGTGGAGAAGGATGTGCAAGCAACCAGGAGGGTTTTGTGTGTTCCCAAGGCCCCTCTGCCCCTAAATACGTCATGGGTGGATATTGCAGTCAAGCTGTATGGGGAGGGAGGTTTTTTGTTGTTGGGTGTTTTTTTTTTCTTTGCATGTGCCTCTGTACCTTTTTATTTATTAATTTGCTTTCCTAAATTGCCCTTCTGTGCAGCCTCCAAAATTCTGCTTTGCCTCCAAAAGCCCTCTGGTCACCAACCCTCGGCTACCCTTGACCCTGGCAGCATCTTCAAAGGGAACATGGGCCTGCTGCGGAGCATGCAATGTTTGCTCACGTACAGGATGAGCTGCTCCCGCCTCCCTGCCTTGGGGGGTTTCGTCAGCCTGCTGCAGCGTTCCGGGGGGGACTGCTCTGCCACCGCTGCTTGCACAAGGTCAGTGTCCCCCACCCCACAGCAAAGTCAGTGTCCCCCACCCCACAGCAAGGTCCCTGTCCTCAGTCAGCGACTGCTGTTGGAGTCTTATTGGGGTAATTTGTTAATTAAGCACTCACTCGTCTTGCTAAGGTGTTAGGTTCATTTTCCAGCCCTTGCTTATCATAGGTAAAAGGGGCTGCATCTCCTGTTCCTCCAGCCCCATGAATCCCTCAGGAGCCCAGGTCCCAGCAGCAGTGGGCATGCTGTGATGGGTTCAAGCAGAGGTAGGTGTGCCCAGAGGTGGGCAGAGATGGAGGTGATGCCCCATCAGGACATCCAGCCCATGTCTGGTCTCTGTTGGGTGTGTTTCAGTTACTTATGTGGAACCTCACAGCACAAAGTGCCTTCCTGGATGGGTCTGAAATGATATACCTGAATTTGGGAATGTGTCAGCTGTTGGGAACAGGGAGAGGAGAGATGCTGAAGATGTCTCTGCTCACTGCAGAGGGGTTGGACTAGA